ACACTAACTACCATACACTAACTATTACACGCTAACTACCACACGCTAACTACCATACACTAACTACCACACACTAACTACCATACACTAAATCACTAATACACTAACTACCATACACTAACTACCACACACTAACTACCATACACTAAATCACTAACACACTAACTACCACACGCCACTATATATTTGACGTTTAAAACATCCAACATGTGAGTGATGCAAACTCTGTTACGTTGCTATGCAGTTGCTAGGGTGTCATATGTGGTAGTTAGGGTGTTGTGTGTGTAGTTGCTAGGGTATTGTTTGTGGTTGTTAGTGTGCAGTTGTTAGGGTGTTGTGTACCATTGTTAGTGAGCTGTGTGCAGTTGTTAGGGTGTTATGTGCTGTTGTGTGCAGTTGTTAGGGTGTTGTGTACAGTTGTTAGGGTGTTGTTTGTTAGGGTGTTGTGTACCGTTGCAGTTGTTAGGGTGTTGTTTGTTAGGGTGTTGTGTACCGTTGTTAAGGTATGTTGTACAGTTGTTAGGGTGTTGTGTACCGTTATTAGGGTGTGTTGTACAGTTGTTAGGGTGTTGTGTACCGTTGTTAGGGTGTTGTGTGCAGTTGTTAGAGTGTGTTGTACCGTTGTTAGGGTGTTGTGTGTGTGGTTGCTAGGGAATTGTTGTTAGGGTGTTGTGTCTGAATAAAAGCTGGTTTGTTTGTGTTTCTGCTGTATGTTGTCAGCATGAATCTCTCAGTGCTGATGTTTGTGTTTAACGGCTCTGTAGTGTTTCAGATCTCCATGGTTTCGTCTCTGTATTGAGTCACTGATGGTGAATATCAAAATTGCTCAGAACTGGGCAGCGATTCTGCAGAGAAACACACAAACAAATGAGAGGAGAACAAACACACTCAACCTGAACCCAAAATATATCTACATATTCAGATATCAATTTTAGACATTTATTTCAAAATATACACAAAATGGCCAAAAAATATTACCCTAACATAATGTTTAAATATTTCACATAAGTATTTATAATTATTAAAAATAATAATTGTTTTTGATAAGCTTATTTCCTATTTATGACTTTTTAAAACATACTTTCTATCAATTTATATTGTACAAACAATATTAAAAATACACACACATTCTGCATTTACCCAAAATGTGATTTAAGATTGGAAATGCGTTTTCCTCGAGTACATTGTGTAATACATTTTGATTTTTTAAAGTTAAAATATATTTTCAGTGTGAAAATTATATTCCTGAAATGTATGCTCTAAAATATATTTTGGCCAGAAGAAAGTGATATTTCTATGAAATTTCTACATTAGAATCTCTAGTTAAAATGCACCAAACTGAGTCGGTCTGGTTTATGAGAAGCAGGACAGTTTTAGACTCAAACTTCTGTGCGGTTTGACCGTCACGGATGCAGACGATCAGAGATTGTTCTGTTTAACTGCGCTGTGTAATGAGCTCTTGAGCGTAACGACTCGTTAGAAGTGAAAGGAAACATGCGGCTCCTCACAAACCCTTCAGAGAGCCGGCGATCCGAATAAAGCTGTGAATCTCCATCTGCTTCAACAGCCCTCGACACACACTTCAGAGAATCAAGATGAAGATTTACATAACAGATTCATGCTGCGAGCATCAAGATAATCACTGTCGATTCCTCTATAATCAAGGTCAGATTATGTTATGCATACTTTGAATATATTGTCTGAAGGAGGATGATTATATCTTTTCACTCTTTTTAGATAGTTTTTATTGAACGATGTAGTTGTCAGCACATACTATATCCTCCATCAGTCTGAAAACTGACCGGTTTGAGTGTATTTTGCTGATTAACTTGTAAACTGAAGCGGCCGCACTTAACTACGAACTATGCAGAACTATGAGCAGACATTCAGAGCATCTCGTTATTCATTTAATTGCTGTTAAACACCTCAAACGCTTTTCTTTGAGTTGGTGTTTCCAGTGTGACTTCAGCTGAAGTTCTCTTCATTATGCAGATGGCGGTGCATGATGGGAAGCGTGTGTCTGGTTCCGTCTCATCGTGCCGCACGTCTAGCTGAGGACTGTTTCTGACCACTCGTGAGTCTGGTAATTGTTCAGGGTAAAGTGGGAAAATGGAAATAACCGTATTAATGATTACAGATGGAGTGTCATTTGTGTGGATGTTCAAACAGTTTCTAGTGTCTCTGTTTAAAGTCAGTTAAATATAAGGCCATTTTTGAGCGCGCTTCCCAAAATATTCACAGTCAAACCATCGAGTGGAGTATAATCAAGTATTTGCCACTGATGCGTTGCTTGATTAAATGTTGTTTTGCCAGAATCAGAGAAAGATGGTTTTTTGCAGCCAGCAGGAGTTAACTAACCCGGACTAACCAGCTAGACACTGACCCGTGAGCTGGACCAGTGACAGACAGAGTTTGGGAAACGAGGCACTTTAAATGAATGTCCACTTTCTAATCGCCAATTAAATCCGTCACTATCCTTCAATCATGCTGATTGGCTGAACTTTGTTCTCAGATGTAATTAGCGAGGTTTTTATCAGAACTTGTGCTTTCATATGTTTCTCAAACAGTCTTATCTGCGTTTCCTCGTTCTGCAGCCGGACTGTAAATCAGGGCATCTGTTTTGCTTCTGTGGAATTACAGATAAACCGGTTAGTGGACACTTTGGCCCATTGTCTGTTGTTTTGATGATCACGCTTAATAACGCTCGGCATCAATATGGTCTTTAAACCTGATTTGGCTGCTAAATGGAGTTAGTCGTGTGCGTGCGGCTCGTCTAATGCCATTAGAAATGTTTGTGAGGAGCAAATTCAATCAGACGTGAATTGAGCCGAAGAGCCCAGAGTCAATGAGCTTCAGACTGGATCCGTGTGAATGAAGAGAAGCTCATCGTTCAGACCGATCCACAGATTCACTGAAGATTCATGAACTGGGAGAGAGAAATAATGAGGAAAGAGTGATGTGGATGCTTGTTAATGGATCGCACAAAACAGATTGATCATAAGCTTCACTGATCTGAGCATGCACCAGCTTTTGAGTGAATATTGCCAAAACTATCACAAATAATGCTTTTATCCCTTAAGAACAAGTGCGTAAGCTGCAATCAATGAGGCCTAATTGCTAATTGAAAGAAAACAACACCAGATGAGGATTTTCAGCACAGCACAGGGTTGAAACTTTAGAACAGTGTTGCGCTTTGGTTGCAGTGCAGTTACATACTGTAAAATTTTATACAATTAAAATGCAATGTAACGAAAATGTCCACTCATGCATTTGAATTATCAAAACAATCTGATCTAGTGCAATGCAGTTTAATCTTATGCAAACATTATGTAAACTAAAAATACATAACTAGAACCAGCCTACAGTGCTTTCTCACACACACACACACACACACGCACACACACACTCTCTCTCTCACACACACACACTCTCACACACACACACACACACACACACGCACACACACAGTCACTCTCACACACACACACTCACACACAAAAGAGAATGATTTTAATCCGGCGCAGGCTGGAAATAGTCCTTTGAGACAGACGCGTCTATTATCCGTGGTGTGTGAATCTCATTAAACGTCCGTAGTGTGGACACACAAACCCGAGACGAGGCCTTCGTGACGACAGAATCCTGCGATCTGCTTTCAAACCCGTCTTTGATGCTCAAGTGTTTCTGCTGCATTGTGTGGCGATCCGGTTTCTGTGTGTGTGTGTGTGTGAGTGTGTGTGTGTGTGAGTGAGTGAGTGAGTGTGTGTGTGTGTGAGTGAGTGAGTGAGTGTGTGTGTGTGTGAGTGAGTGAGTGAGTGTGTGTGTGTGTGAGTGAGTGAGTGAGTGTGTGTGTGTGTGAGTGAGTGAGTGAGTGTGTGTGTGTGTGAGTGAGTGAGTGAGTGTGTGTGTGTGTGAGTGAGTGAGTGAGTGTGTGTGTGTGTGAGTGAGTGAGTGAGTGTGTGTGTGTGTGAGTGAGTGAGTGAGTGTGTGTGTGTGTGAGTGAGTGAGTGAGTGTGTGTGTGTGTGTGTGTGTGAGAGAGTGTGAGAGTGTGTGAGTGAGGGTCGTGACCCCTGACCGTCAGGATCACATGATGAGCTTCTGAAAGTCATGTTCATCGTTATTATAAAGCAGCGGTTTTCTCATGTAGTGAATACAGATGTTTCCTCTCGTTCTGTGGTTTAAATGTGTGTGTGTGTCCGTGTGCAGGTCACCGTCTCCATGTATAAGCGAGGAGCGCAGGGGTGGCTGGGTAAACCGCTGATCGCCACGGCAACCATCCCCTCCAGCACACGCGTGATCTTCCGCATCCGAGGAGAACCGACAGACGCTAAGATCCCGGCGGGCAGCGTCCGCTCCATCACGCTGAGCATCTGAAGCCCTGCAGCTTTATTCTCTCCGCAGCGATTCATTCCATGCGCTCGACAGCACGATCATCACTACTGACACGACCCGTCTTTACCACACCAATCAACAAGAGTTTCAGTGTTTCAAATGTGCTTTATATCTTTTTCATATTTGTTTTACTTTTCTAATCAGACATCAGCCTGTATTCTGAACAGAGTGTGTGATCAGATTTTAAGAGTCCAGCTTTCATGTTTTCATACTCTTCACAGTCTAGTAAATCTTCATGGTCATTTTAAAATGTTACTAATTTCTTTAAAGTGACTTTAAAACTCTGAACATAGAAAAGATCCCGGTTGGTTTTGTCAAACTGACGAACATTTCTTGGCCTTCATTCAGATGATGAAGATATTTTTATCTGTTAAAGCCTCAATATTTTGTCAGTTAATTTGAAATGATTGATATTTCATGCAATAAAAGACTTCTTTCTGTCTCAAACAAATCATCTGGGTTTATTTTGGGAAAGGGACAGAAAGATTTCTCAGACACCGGTGAGTGAAATGATGAAATCACCTGAAGCTGCTGTTAAACGTGTTTTATTTGAAACTGATTAGCTTAAGAGAATCATAATTTTGTCACTGACTCGCTTCACATCAAAATGAGCCTGTGGGAATATTAAACATCATGATGATCAATAAATGAACATCGGAGCATCTAAACATGTGCAGTCAAACAAATCAGTGTTTTAGATCAGCGAGAGACGAAGCGTTCGACCGATCATGAGCTCAAGCGGCTCTTTCACACACTCACGAGATCATAAACCAGCAGATGAAGATCATACCGTGAGCTGTCGATCACGCTCGGACCCCACAGATGACCACAGCGCATGTGATGACTGACAGCAGATGTGCTTTGAGTGAACCCTTCATATGTCAAAAGCTTGGTGTTTTAGTGGAGGTGCATTCTGGGTAATGATTCAGGGATGCTTTCACATCAGGTGTTTCTGCATCAGGATCCTTCAGCTTCAAATGAAGCAAGAACATGAATGTGCTGGTGAGTGATGAATCTAATCTTACAGCTTTCTCAGCTGCTTTCACACATTTTCAAAACTTCACACACAAATCCAAGAACTGCACACAAAATGCAAAAAGCCTCTCATCTCTTGCAAAATGAAGCACTGCATTCAAAATATCACAAACACGTCTCAAAAGCAAGCATTTGCAAACACCTTTGCCATAATATTAATTCCTGTTAGATTTGTGTGTGTTACACAGAGAACTGTGTGTTGTGTTTTGCAAAAAGTGTCTGGTTTTGTAGGTTTGGTGTGCTTCTGCTGTTTGAGTGTCAGCTTTCAGAAACTGTGTCACAAGTGAAGAGTTTGTAAGTATTTGGAGGAAGTGAGGCGTGTTGTTGGTGTTGTGACGTCCTGAGAGCTTCTGCCAGATCTGGGCCTGAAAGACTTCATCGTAATAAAACAGACGGATGATGGTTTGCTCGATCTAAAGGTGCAGTGACAGTGAGATGAAGGACTAGTTATTAGTTATTAGAAACGCAGTAATATGTGGCCCGCGGCTGAGGAGTTCAAGTCTGATACCTTCCCATACGGCACAAAAAAAATTCTGCCAAAATATATTTGAATTATATGCTAAATCTATGTTGTAAACAATGAAGCTCAATTCAAAATATTTTTGAAATAGAAAATATATGTAGTTTCAACCTTCATGTATCAAAATATATTTAAAAATGTAATTCAGGGGGAAACACTTTTCCAGTCTTACAGTAGCCTACATTTGGGCTAAATGCAGACAGCCGAGTGGAGAGAAAAAACTAATTAGTTTGATAATGCTTTAATATAATGCTTGATTTTTTCAAATGTTGGAATATTGTAATATTTTTTAAAGTACGTGACGTATGTATTTTCTAAAGTATGATTTTTTTATTCAAATGTGTTATATGTTCATGTGTGTTATAGACAAATAATTTTTTTCTTCAGATGTGATGTATTTTCTTGGATTGAAATGTAAGGAGAGCATATATATAGATTTTTAAAAAAATGCTTTTAAAAAAAATTTATATTTTGAAATATTTCAAAAATGTCCAAAAAATATATTGTTAGATATAAATTTACATTAATATATTTTGGGTCATTTTTTTGTATATTTTGAGATATTTAAAAATATATTTGAAAATAAAATTTTGCTGTATTGGTTTGATTATCATATTTGTCCTGAGAAATTAAAATGGAAATAATGATGTTAAAGGTTTTCTGACTCTTGTTTCTGAGGTACTTTATAAAGCAGCTCTGACTGGTCTCTGATTGGATGAGATGCGTTCAGAAAAAAGAAAAAAAAAACTACTGCCAAAAAAAGATGATTCGACCATTTCAACTAATACTGTATATAGTGTTGATGAAGATATGACAAGAAAAAAAATGGGCAAAGTAAAATATAGAAAAATATAGAATGAACTAATTCAAATGATCCAGATGATGCATGTTAATACTGTTTTGCACATCAAAAAAATAACCTGAATGTTGACTAGAATGAATGAATTACAGATGACAAAGTACTGACTTCTACTGACTTGAATACTGAAACAAACAAAAAAAGTTCCAAAAAGTAACAAAAATCCGATGAAGAGCATGTCGCTGGAAACATCTCGTGTTTTGGTAGCTGTCAGTCAACAAAGCTCCGCCCCCTGCTGCGACGTCATCGTCACCTGTCAGCTGATTGATGACGGTCAGGTGTGAAGGCCAGTCGTCTTTCAAACCCGTTCATGCGCACTAATGAGTAGAAAACATGTTGACTAAAACTCGTGCGCTTCTATCGAGACTTCAGGAGTGCGGTTCTGAGGTCAGCGGCGGGTCACGCTGCGTCACGTGACGGAAGAATGTAACAAACGCGGATGTTGCGTCTCCAGACTGTAGCAGCTGGACGAGGAAGTCAATTTTCCAATTTAGCAAACGCACAGATGACAGGAAACAGCGCAATTTAGTGCAGATGAGGGGTAATTACCTCTAAAATGAACGCCATTTCATATGAAGCTCAAGTCATCATAATGAGAGCGATGCAGTCATTACTGTTAATTACAGGAATTAGTAACATCATTTAACAAACGCAGAAATAATGTTTAGGATATTGAAGCAGCAGCCAAAGCCATTAAGACAGAAGCAAAGCTTTCTAATGCAATAATTGCGTGTTCTACACAATCTCTGGAATAAAGTGTGTGTGTGCAAGTGAGTAAGTGTGTGTGTGTGTGAGTAAGTGTGTGTGCGCGTTTTTGTGACAAATGAGGACATAAATTTGTATAATGACAAAGGTATGACATGGGCATTACAAGGAGAAGGTGACTTTTCAGGACATTACCCCATGTCCCCACTTTTCACAAAGACAAACCTGTGTGTGTGTGTGAGTGAGAGTGTGTGTGTGAGTGAGTGTGTGTGTGTGTGTGTGTGTGTGTGTGAGTGAGTGTGAGTGAGAGCGAGTGTGTGAGTGAGAGCGAGTGTGTGAGTGAGAGCGAGTGTGTGAGTGAGAGCGAGTGTGTGAGTGAGAGCGAGTGTGTGAGTGAGAGCGAGTGTGTGAGTGAGAGCGAGTGTGTGAGTGAGAGCGAGTGTGTGTTAGTGAGAGCGAGTGTGTGTGTGTGAGAGAGTGAGTGTGAGTGAGTGTGTGTGTGA